AATGCTCTCCCCGTATTTTAATCCACTCTCTCACCCAACACGTTCTCGCCGTTTTGGTACGATTAGTGTCAATTTTGTGTTTTGCTGCTACAAGCACGACAAGTGCCGCCGACGCTGTTAACTGTCCGGCCACGACTGAACGAACCATCACTACTCTCGGAGTGCTGGAGCGACGACTCTCGATAGTACCACACCGCATCTAATGGGACAGCGTTGCTAGCGACACTCAGGAGCTCTCGGACAACTCGCAGCTACTGTCGGAGAGTAACTTTTGTTGTTATTTGGCTCCACGTGTATACAATTCACGATTCTTACGCTTGAGAGTGATTCGGCTCTCGAGAGTGAAATACTCTCACTTGGACACTTACCTTAAGGCGTAGCGCTCGAACGCAGGTGATCTAAGTTCGAAATTCGGTCGAATTTGTAAAACTTTTTATATCTGCCCAAACTGTTTAATGTACGTGTAGCCAAACAAATATTTAGTTGCACCAACCAAATCTTACAGTTTGGGACAACCAAATGAGAACAACAAAATAATTTGGTTTCAGTAACAAAATATTTCACTGCCCCTATACAAACAAATAATTTGATTGCACCAAAAAAATCTTGTTTCATTCATCATAACCTTCCTCTCAGTGTACCTACATTGCCTCATACACAAACGCTAGCACCAACATGTGGGCACATGAATAATTTGTGAGCCACTGTAAGGCCTAATAATATGACATTATAATCAAAGCGATTTTGAGGAACAAGTGTTAAGGTCGAAGAGCATTCAGGCATGCTATCTGCACGTGAACACACCATGCAACGGATTCAGGAAGCTTTTGAACGAGGCCCTCGTGTATCGACTCGGCGTCTCAGTCGTGAGATTGATTATCCGCAATCCCCTGTGTGGAAGATTTTACACTCTCTGTGCGATTGAATGTTCTGACAAGATGGCGAATGGTCACATTTGTGGGGCCAGGTTTCCTAAATCTTTGTGTGAAACAACTCGCACTGCATCGCACGTTAGTACTCTCAGACGAGCACAGACCACGGTAATCCTCTCATCAATGATGAACATTTTCATTACCTAAAACTAAAACCAGATATATTTGCAATTTTCCCACAAGGGAATATGAACTTTAAATTCACTTTGTACATAATATATAACTGATAACATGTGATATGTAATATACACACCTATACTATGCCATATAAAATAAGTAACTGTAATATACGATATAAAAGTTTTATTATATAACATATAGTTTATTACTTAAAAAATATTGCATACAATCCATATTATGGTAACTTCGTCGAATAACGCCAGGCGGGCAATAATGCCATTTCAAATCGTACACGTAGTTTCCAGCAAAACCGATAGATGGTGTGATACGTATCTTTCCTGAAACGAAGCTAATTGTACCCTCGCCAGTCACTGTTGTTGTCATCCACTTTTCGGTGAGCGGTTTCGTTTCAAGGACTTTGCGAGTGTGTTTCTGAGTGTGTGTGGGAGGAAATAACTCATCAAACATTTTTAGTACCATTTTAGGTAAGCCCATTTATTTCTACAAAGCAACTTCCACACGATATGTGTTATATGTCAGCATATTTAGCGTTTAAAAGGGTACATTTTTATGTCGTAAAACTATCTGTTTGTTGCATGTTAGAATATTCAGTTGAATTTAGAAAAGAACATGTCGTTTTGGGAAATATCGCCTCGTGCATGGCGGGCAATAACGCCATGTTTAATTTCTCTTATAGAGACTCGGGCAATAACGCCATGTTTTATTTCTCTTATAACGAGGGCTAAAACCAATACTATTTAGGGCCTACGGTTAAAGGTATTCTGTGATAATCATATGTAACTTAATTTTTGACGCTGTAAAAATAAAATAATAATTACTAAATTTATTTCGAATGAAACAATGCACGATGTGGTGAATGTTTATCACACCGGTGTATTGGTAGCAGTTTTAATTTTAATTTTGCATTGTGCCGTAAATACGTTTACAAAGAGTGTAACGCATTTTTTTTTTCTCCAAATTACAGATGCAAACATTGCTGCCATGGGAAAAAAGTACCAAAATATTAGGGAAAAATGGAAAACAGATCTACCGAACGCTATAAAAATGTACAATCAGGATTGTCTGTCACAGCAGCTTCAAGGCAATATAAAATTCCTAGAAGAACATTGAGGGAGTGATTGAAAAGAGGTGACAGAACACCGAAACGTAAACTTGGGCGTAATACGGTCTTAAGTACTGATATAGAGGAAGAATTCAAAATAAGGGTGATTAGATATCAGCAAGTAGGTTTTGGATTGACTAGGAATCAGATTTGCTCATTTGCTTTCCATATATGCGATGAGAAAGGAATTTCACATCTTTTCTCTGACAACAAAGCGGGCAAAGACTGGTTTTATGGCTTCATGAGAAGAAATAACGATATTGTTATAAGAAAGGCTGAGAATCCTAACTATAGCAGGCTCATGAGGTTCAATAAGGAAATTGTTAGTGCGCACTTTGAACTGTTAACAAAAACTCTAGACAAAATGAATCTTCACAATCAGCGCCACGTTATTTACAATGTCGATGAGAGTGGATTACAGTTTACCTACAATTGTTCGCAGCTAGTTCTAGATGAAAAGGGTTGTAAACGTCTACATGCAGTAACTCATGGAGAAAAATGCGAAACTGTAACTGTTGTGACTTGCACTAACGCTATTGGCACAAATTGGATTCCACCTATGATATTGTATAAAGGGAAGTATTCAAAAAATAATTCGGCCATGACCTTCCGAATGGGAGTGTTTTTGCTCTGACCCTTAAAGGTTATATTACGAAAGAAGAATTTTGTAACGTCTTGCGTCACTTTAATTCGCACCGAATACCGGGAAAAGCTTTGCTCATATTTGATGGCCACCGCAGTCATTTAGATAACAGTGTGCTTGACGTTGCTGAAAGCTTAGGGATACAGCTATTCTGTTTGCCTGCACATTGCAGCCATGAATTACAACCCCTAGACAAGAGTCTCTTTAAGTCGGTGAAAACTTATTGGAACTCGGCAGTGGAGAATTTCCGGAGGAAAAATCCAGGAAGTCCACTAGGGAACCTACAGTTCGGAAATCTGTTTACTGAAGCCTGGGCACAAGCAGCTACCCTAAGAATGCAATGTCTGGATTTAGAGCTACAGGAATATTCCTATTCAATCTGCAAGTAATCCCAGAGACAGCTTTTGCTGCTAGTGATGTATCAGATCTCACACCACTACAAGTTAGGCCTACAAGTTCTTCTGCAACTTCTTGCACTTTGAGGATATCCACAATACCAGCAACACATACAGCACCGTCAACCAGCAACAACATTCCAACTACGTCAACATCATTAGCGACTGTACATAGTCTGATTCCCACGCCTAAAATTATCCGAAAGACCCAGAAAATCACTATTCCTTAAATGTGAAAGCTACTCTGCTGACTCGTCAATTGTTTTCCAAGAGTGTTCAAGGGAATGACGACCAGCCATCTACTGCGCCTGTGCATAAACGTACAGTGAAGATTCGTAAGAATAATGATGACATGCACTGCGAGGACTGTGGCCGAAACTACTGCGACAAGTCTATGAACGTGCCGTGAATCCAGTGTATGGAGTGTAAAGTGTGGTACCACGAAATTTGTGATAAGGGAAACATTTCAAAATGTGGTTTGTATACCTTGTGTGACGATGGGTGTACTCTGCTCTCTGAAAGCAGCAGCAGTGACTAGAATGTTGTAACATCTAATTAGTCTTGTAAATATTTTGGGTTTAGGAGTTACATGGGCCATAATAATTTTGTGTCTCCCTTTTTTGACTTAGAAAAGACTTTTAAGTCATTCACTTTCGTCGGCTTATGTTTCGCTAGTATTACAATTTTATAAAATTACTTCTTTAGTACATGACTTCCCGAAGTGTTACTAAAGCATTTCATTTTGTCTATAGGCTGATTTGGGTAGCTTTCAGTTATTTCTCAGTTGCACAATTGTCTACAAATTTTATTGTAGAACAAATTACCTCGGTGTAATTTAGGCCTAAACCTACTAGCCTAAATAAATTATTTCTAGTGATTTTAAAGCTATTACAAAGGGGTTATGTTCAAAAATATTTGCCACTTAATGTAGGTAGAATATTTAAATGTGTGTTGACACATTTTTCTATTTCTTTCGTTGTTTGTATAGCCTAACAAAACTCTGTTAAGATCATGCCAATTCCTGAGTTGTGTAAATAACTAAGTGAACATAAAATGTTTTATTGGATTTGTGTAAGAACATTTTAAAATCTTAACTGCGTATTAATTTTTTATTTTATTCATGTTTGTCTATTTTAAAGCCATTGAGACCTGTTTAAGTTTTCTAAGTGTTTTCTATGATATTTTCTACTATTTTTGTCAAAATATACAATTTTTTTATTCATAATCGAATTTGTAAAGCTTTTATGAATAATGAATGTGTTGCAAATAATACATCTTTAAGTTTTGGTATTTTTATTTTAAAAACTAGGTATGGCGATATTCCCCCGCCATATCTGGTAATAACGCCATTTTAAAACACAATAGAAAAATGTTAAAAGTTTTTTGTAATTTGTATATTTTGGAAATATTTAATATACGTTGTGTTCCAAAATGATACAGCTACCGTCTAAAAAAAGATTCACAACTTTATTGTTATAATTGTAAAATTTATGGCAAAAATGGCGATTTAGTGGCTTTATTTCGCGAACTTACCGTATAAATAAATAAATAAATTTATTTATTTATTTATTTAATGCCAAGACCTTTGGTGAGTTGATTCGCGCGTGACTAACGCAACCAGTCAAATCTCTTCATAAATCACCCCCCCCCCCCTCCCTCCAAAAGAAACAAATTATTTGTTAAGACTTTGTATTTACAAAAATTTTGTTAGGCGTTTGGTGGGCTGCTACGTAATCGAACCTGTGAAACTTCTGGTTTAACATGTGTGTGGAGAGTCCGTAAAAGCAAGGCACCGCCGGAATTCGAACTCAGGATCTCCTGTTTACTAGACAGGCGCTTTAACCAACTAATCCATGGCGCCCCACGTGTTTAACGTTTATACAATACGACGAATGTAACGTTAGATTCAAAATATCACAAAAGGAGTAGTGTGGGTTGGAGCGGAGACATTTGGGCGCCTCTTAACAACGAGGTCTTGAGAGCCGTAAAATATTATGAAAGTGTCGCGTGTTATACGTTATATTTTTCTTATTGTGGAGATTTTCGAGTTATTAGGCGTTTCTGAAATTATTTATAGTTTAGAAATACCTGTCTTTCTTTTTAAACGGGTGCTGTTCTCCAGGTTACCTAAAATTATCATCAGCCAAAAATTAAGTTTTAAATAGCTACTTCACACGTGTATTCGGCGTTCATTTCTGTTACAGTCATAAGCGTGTGTGGCGATCAAAGGACTTCACAGTTGAAGAATGTCGCAAATATTGTTCGACCAAATTAACAATTGATCCCGTGAGGGGAAGGTGCAGCTCTTCCTCTCCTCGTGTAAAAACTACTAAGGCCAATCTGCGACACAGTTAGGAATGTCAGAAACGATAGTGTAGTTTCCCTACATTATATCACATAGCTTACTAGGTTTCAATGGTTTGATGCTCCCCGAGTATGCAAATACACTGCAGTGACATATGTTATAATGTGCATTCGACGCGAATGAGAATAAAATATCAAATGACCATTTTATATTTTCAGTGAATAAAGATAGATTTATTTAAGTGACAGGAAACATCTGCCTAACGTTTAGCAACAAATACGAGAGAAGACAAACTACAAATCTATAACAACATGAAAAATATGAACATTAAAATATTAATTTGAATTCAGTTGACAGACGCATAAAATTTATTTGCAGTAAAATAATTTTCTATTAAAAATAAATTACGTTCAAACTATAACTAATCTATATTTTTAAACATATTATGTCTTATTTTTAAATAATGCTATTCTAAATTACATCAACTGCCATACATGTACGATTTAAAACATTTGTTGAAAATGGTACACATAATTTATTAAGGTGAACATAATAGATAGGAGCACAACTGGAACCGCACAAACATGATTGAAAATGTTACAACAAGGATAATGATATTAATAAAGAAATGTCGAATGGAATCCTTCTCCCAGAAAAGTGGATTGCTTCACATACTAAGACGTCTCATAAGACGCAACTTGAAGACATGCAGATTATGTTACGCATCACTCCAAATACCAGTAACACTTTAAATGTACACTGTTAAACAGATCACAGTCGTTTGAAACATGAAGTCTTCTACGTAGGTAGTTTGACTCCTGAAAGTGCACCATCTATAAGTTTTGCACTATAGTTGCCAACACTACAACTGTCATCATGGAAACTATCGCATTCACTGTCAATATCGCTGTCACCACCCACACTTTTATATATCTTTCTATTTATTCCTCCATGCAACAATCGTTTTTCTAATATTCTGCTACTTCTCTTTTTATACGCGGCACATACTATTTTGCAGTCTTTTTCTAAAATACTATTTGTTGCCACTTCTATCAACGCTTTCACTTAGTCGGCTCTTTGCGATACATTTTTGACAGCTACAAGAGACTTAACAGTGTTCCAGATGTATTATGTGGTAGAATTAAAATAACAGTGATATAGCAGCAGCCTGATTACTTTGTGGCCACATGTTTAAAGAAGTTCGTCTACATAATACTTGGGAGGTAGGCGTTGGAATGTAACAACGCAAAGTAGTTATTATTTAGACATTTCTTCTTTATAAGTAATATTGTTTGCCTTGAGTCATTCTTGTTATCGCAGTACAGGCAGAAGCTTTCCTAAAACAGGTACTTTATTTCTGCGGGTATATAAGTTTTGAATTGTGCGTCTAAAAACGCACAAATCAAAGTCATATCAAAATATGTTTCTGCAACTCGTCTTTCGTTTTCCCTGGCGTGCGTACTTTTTTATCTGTTAGTTTTGATACAACCATTCCTTCACGTGTTTTACATAGCCTAATGTCACCACCGATTTCCTTGTCGCAGCTGCTGCTCGTTTCGTGGCATTTTTAATAGGAGAAATATATTTTCCAGAAACTATTTTTGCTATCAAAGAAACGCAATTACGATACCAATAATATCTCGGCCTTCACTGTTAATAGTAGGACTCTTTTGCTCGAGCATGCCCTTAAGACTTGCGTGTTCGCTTTATATGCACAAAGACTCTATACAATATACATATCGGTGACACTTTCTCTCCCTGTGATTAGCTCGCTAGACCTTCTCTGTATATCACATTGAATATATATAATATATATGTATATGTATATATAATATCCTATATAGAGTATTTATATCCTCTATATAGAGTTTATATCCTATATAGAATATGTAGGCTATATATAGGATGTTAAAGGTAAAATGAGCACTTTTAAGGCCGCAGTTACTTTTTTCCTACTATCCATTTTCTTGTACTTCCAAAGCGCTTTAAAATAACTATTGCCTTGTTAGTAATAAACATGGTATATTTATTCCACCGTACTCAAAAGTTAACATCTACAACAAAATATATTTTCGACTATTATTCCAAATAAGAGGACTTCAAGCTGTGCTCACTTTACCGTGAATAGCTTATATATAAACATATATACATATACACATACACATATATAGAGTGACTTACAGTGAAAGTGTTACAACTAATACGAACTAGCATTTGATTGAAAATTAATATCCCCTCTAAATCAAAATAAGTGGTAACCCATTTTATTTAACGCATTACACATCCAGCTTTTAGGGCCCATAAAGATACGTATCATATCTATGATTATATCTGCATAACATTGAAAATTCTAAAACAACTGCAGATTGAACGCCACAGTGTATGTGGTACACCCCCTCCCCAAATACACTCCCACCCCCCTTGTAATTGGACTACCAGACGTGCCATTTCGGGCTCACGCATTCTGAGCCACGCGTACCTTCGTTCTGTGCATAAAGGCAAGCATTACATTCAAGCAAGCTTTCGTAGATCAACATGGAACGAGAAAGAGGACAGACGTCTGTGGCGGTGAGAAAGCTGCTCATTTTGTATGATATCGGCAAAAATTTGAATCGCAATCATTCTACTGTGCAAAATATTGTTCGTCGCTTTCATCAGTACAGTAGAATAGAGAACAAAGAGAAACATAGTTCCAGAAAAATATTTACTGCATCAGACGAGTGATGGATTCAACGTCAATTAAAGAAAAATCCTGCATTAAGTGCACTTGCCAAGAAAGCAGAAGTCGTCTTGGAGAAAAAAGCCTACCCAGAAACCGGGAGGAGAGTCCTTCTTAGAGAAGACTTCGATGGTCGAGTAGCGCGCAATAAACCATACATCAGCAATAAGAACAAAAGTCTCAGGTTACAGTTTTCCACAAATCACGCTGATAAATATTTTGACTACTGGAAAACAGGAATATTTAGAGAGGCAAGTGTATTCAATGTGTTTGCATCGGATGGGAAGGTCAGTATCTGGCGTAAGCCAAACACGGAGCTTGCAGAAAGAAATCTTCGGCCGACGGTGAAACACGGGGGTAGGACCGTGATGGTATGGGGTTGTGTGGTGGCTTCGGGTGTGGGGAAACTCCATTTCACAGATAGTACAATGTATAAAGATGTGTTTTTGGACATACTGAGGAAAGAATTGACACCAAGCGCAGAGAAATTAGGCTTGCGGAATTGTTTCACGTTCTACCAGGACAACGACCCGAAACATACGGCCTATAAGGTATGCATGTCCTTAATCTATAATTGCCCCCATGTACTCGATATCCCTCCACAGTCCCCAGACATCAATGTCATTGAAAATTTGTAGGGTGTGTTAAAAGAAAACATCCGCAATCACCTCATAGCTAACCGTAATGCCCTCTATATTGCCCTTCAAACGAAATGGGATAAGATTGAGTTATCTTATTGTGAAAGGCTAGTTCGAAATAAGCCAGATAGGCTTAAGGAGAGGAAAAAGAACTGTGTTTGCTGGAAGTGTCATCGCCAGTGCCAAGTCAGCGCGAATTTGCAATACCGTCAAGATTCGCTGACCCAGTAAAAATATTTTGAGCTAGGGCAAAGACTAAGGCTGTGACCCAATTCCCTTCAAGTATGTGTGTGTATATATATATATATATATATATATATATATATATATATATATATATATCCATACTTCGTCCCACCTGCGACGTCACTAAGTATATACTAGCGCTATCCCAATTCCTAGTATAGTACACACAGTTTCTGTACTTGCCAAGTACACGAAGCTGTTTACTTGCTGGGTGAATTTGCGTACTTGCGGTGGTCGCCATGTTTGTTTTCAAACGTCACGTACATAAACGAACATAACCTATGATGGGAACATTTTGTGGTTTTACTACCAGCTGTCTTATTGCTCTACGAAGCAACACAGCTCCGACATCCCGACAAAAGTAGATTCTATTTATATTTCCCGTCGTGTAGAGCTCGTCGGGACGCCCAAAGAATGTAGATACAACATTAGAAGCAAAAATTTCGTGCGTATTTTCCTACAGTAGAAAATAATTAATCACGTTTCGGTTTGTTTATAAATATTTTTTCTCTCGTATGAATTTAAATATTGCCAAGCACAAAAAAATCACTTAACCGTTAGTTTAAATCGGAAATATTACACTTTAATAAAAATAACTTGACATTTTTAGGATTTTCCAACATGCAAATAGCACACTTTTCGACGTATTGTAAATATTTGATAAACTATAATATGAAATTTCGTCGTGCTGTGATGTCGTGGCTCATAAATTCTCTTCGTTTTCGTGTCATAATTTTAGTTTCAGAGGTATTATTCAAAATTTTTGATCATGGGAAATTTCAATTTAATAGTTGTTTAATACTTTGTATCTAATTTGCACTGTGTGTATATTTCATACTTGCAAAAAGACAAAAACTTATTGATAAAGTACAAATATGTTCTAGACATTTTTACAACTAGCAGATAACGCACAATTAACATTCGCACAAAAATATATAAAAACTCGTAAAATG